ATGAATTGCCTCCGCGTCGTTGGCTATTCAACCTCCCGGAATGTTTCTTTTTTCGGTTCTCTTTTTTGCCTCGTCCTTTTAGCGCATTTCATAAGAAGGCCTTGCGGGACTTCCGGCTACTGGCTAAGGAAGATAAATGGAAGAACCGTGAACTGCGAAATCGCGCCGAACAGCAGTCAAACCAACTCGAGGCCAAACTATCAGCGGAGATCACGGTGGGTCGGCAGTTTGGTGTTATCATTCGATTAACTCAAACACGCCCCCCATCGGCGTCTTTTATGTTTGTTTCAGTGCAGCCGCCTTCCTCTCACTTTCTGATTTTTTCTTTCAATCATAGCAACTGCATCGTCAACAGACACGTGAACTTGAAGCAGCCGCCAAGAAGTTCAAAGCGAGTTCGGATCTGGAGAATTCTATCTATGAGGCTGATAGAAAGAACCTCCGTGATCAGACCGTATGTGTGCTTTGCTCACATAAATTGCTTGATTTATTGCATTTAATAACCCTCTTTTTTCATTGATATCTTGGGTTTCGCTAAGTGTGGCTTGGCGTTTGGAAAGCACTTTACCGAGTCCTTTCTTGTGCATAGAATTTAATGAAGCACCTTAACATATCCGATATTGAATGACTGAATGTATAAGAACGTACGACTATTACCAAAAATCGTAAAACATTTTTCGCAATTTTAGGATATTATTCTGATTAGAAAGAATTAATTAAGCTAGGTTGCAGTGATGAGTGGCATTCCGTAAGTGCCAGTATGCCGGCTTTTGTATGAGCACTTTTCCAATCAGGTTTGAAAATCGCATCACACGAGGTGATTCCTTATGTAATGCGCAATACTTACATTTTCTTTCGCCGCCTATTTGACACCAATCGTATTCTGCGGAAGGCATGCGCTGAACAATTTGTATTTTTATTACTTACTTTACATGCTTGTAAGATGTATGGGATTTTGTAGCACGGTAGTTTTATTTGGAACGTTGTTTATCAGTAGTGGTAGAAGCGGAGGTGAAGGCGATTGTATGATTAGGCAACTCTGCGCCTTGCCCATAGAAAGCTTTTGTCTTATCCCTTCAGTTGCCCTGACAAAATCGACTATAACTGTTACGTCAGCTCTATACCTCCCCTCTCACACTGCTTCCCTTTAAACACTCCGAGTTTGACGTACTGTTTTCCTATGGATTGACTTATTAAACTTTACATAGTATTTGGCGCGAAGTCGAGCCTTTTGAGGGTTGTTCGTGAGATTTACCATCAACAAACCTACCCGAATAGTTGATTTGTTTGTCACTGCGGCTATTATTGTCAAAATTTCTTACCAATACCCTGAACTTGATTTTGGACAACGCCTGTAAACACTATTTGTCTTTGACAGGTCTTCAATAATAGGATTGAACTCTTTTGGTTTAAATTGTTTACGAATTTGGCTCCTTCGTGATACTGCTTGTTTAACCCCTTTTCTTGAGAACCTTTATATGCGAAATCCATCAACTTTGGTTGAGTTCATTTATTCCTCCGTCGATCGTTGCTCAGTTCTGTTCTACATCCTTACAAATATGTTCTTTCAGTCTCAACTACGACATGGTAATGCGCGCCTTGCCCAGACCTCATACGTACGGTTTGATAGGATAGCTCGTTCTTTAGTTTAATCGTCAGGTTTAGTCGAAGGGTAGCATGGTTTAAAACAGGAACGCATTCTAGTTTATAGCAGCTACCTTTACACTGACGTTTAGCTCGCTACGAGGGGCTTTTTCCACCTTCGGCACAAAGCAAACTGTTTGGGTTTATGCCTACATCTGTAGCACGGAAGTCCTAGGCTCGAATGCAGGTTCTCCAAGTTTAAAAACAGACGCACTGTGTATCATACTGTCTCTGCTAATTTATTAGCTAGAGTCAGTTACTAGCTGTCTGACTGAGTGCTGCTTATGGTACATGTAAATGTTCCACCAAATTGATCAAAAATAACTGTCAGAGGGCCGAATCTCCTCTTCGACCGCGTTCCTCGGGCTTGTTTGCTTGTTAGTTAATTTAAAACTGCATAACACTAGTACAGGGCGTTCCATATACAACAACCTTCACTTTTATTTTCCCCTTTTTTACAGCTAAGTGGTGAAAAGATAGTCCGTGACCGCTTGAAGTCCAAGCTGGATAACTCCAACATCTCACGGTGGAAACGGAAAGCTATTCTGCGTGACCTCATGGACTCCGACCAGGACCCCTATCGACCACCCTCCTCTGCCAGTTCTGTCTCCTCTGAAGCCTCGTACAACGAATTGAGTCGAGAGGTGGCCGAATTTCGTGATCACCAAAGGGAATATTGGGACCAGGAAATCGCGAAGTTGAAAGAATCGCACGATAAGAAACTGGCCCACCTATCAATCCAACATCGATCGGAGCAATTTATGATTAATCAGAGTAAGTATTCAGGGCACTTTCAAACTGTATCCCGTCGTTGCATGATTTAAAATAACGAATTGAAGCATACAACAGTTTGAATTTTCCCGGAATGTCAGTGCATAACAGCAACGGTCATAGTTCACTGCAAATAATGATCAGATGAAGGACACTACATTAAACCAACTTATAGGAAAGAAAGTGGAAAAGGAGAAAGTTAATACAAGGCACAGTCGTGATTAACTCTGAGCACCCGATTACCAAGGTAATTGGAGATTGGCCACATGGTCTTGTTGTTTGTAAAGGTCGGGTTTCTCCTGTCGCATGTAGGCTGCTTCCAAGTAGCGCAGAGTCGTGCCCGAACAAGTACTCAGAAATGTGTTTAGAGGTCGACAAATTGACCAGTGCTCGCCGACATTGTTATCGATCAGCTTGAAGAAAGGGTGTCATCAAGACTTAGTATAATAGTATTGTACAAAACATACGTGGATTATATATTCAAGATCGTCGATTTCAAAGAAGACTCCGATTTATTTCTTAATTGTATGCATAACTTGCATCCGAAAATTAAATTCACAATGGAAGTGGAGCAGTTTAACAAGCTACCCTTCATAGACATCCTCATGTTTAGAGAGAATAATGGTTCAGTAGGGCGCTCTGTTTTCCACAAAAATAATTGGAAAGGACAATACCTACATTTTACCAGTTTTGTGCAAATACAGTAGAAACGAAATCCCCAAGAAAGCCAGTTATTGTATCCTTAAAATCAAGCGACGGTTGCGCTGCACCATAGAAAGGACGTTCAACGCAGCTGAACTCCTCTTTCTCAGTCCTAATTAAAGCCCCCCCCCCAATAAAGGGGTAAAGGATGCCTTGCCGTTGTAGACTACCCAAAATTATATGTATGAATTTATGTGCATTTGCGGATGCAAGTATATTGAGCGTACGCAAAGGCATTTTGTAGCCAGGACAGCCTAGCACTTGCCTTATTGTTTTTTCAAGCAAGAAAGTAGAGTACCACGGTCCTTGATGACTAAACATCTGCTGGACAGTAGTCGCTTTGTCGACCTCTAAACAGCTTTCTGAGTACTTATTCGGGTACGAACAAATCGAACTCTGCGCTCCTTGGAAGCAGACTACATGCGGCAGGAGAAACCCGATCTTTGCAAGCAGCGAGATCATCTGTTCAACCTCCAATTACCCTGGTAATCGGGCGGCTTGATTTAATCACGATTGTGACTTGCGTTAACTTTCTCCCTTTCCATTTTCTTTCCTATACGTTGGTTTAATGCAGTGTCCTTCAGTTGATCATTATTTGCAGTGAACTATGACCGTTGCTGTTATGCACTGACATTCCGGGAAAAGTCAAACTGCTGTAAATCATGCAACGACGGGATGCAGTTGGAAAGCCGCTGCGAAATTTATTGAATTCAGTAAATCCTATGTTTGTTTCAAAATGTCAAATGAGGCACATTTTCCTTTGGCTTGCATAATTAGCAAGCAAAACTTTCTTCTTCTTTTGACATGTCACCGGGGACTTGCATTTGCTCTACTATTGACATTAAGGCGTGTCGTCGAAAAGGTGTCAGGAGAGGCGCGGTTATCCGAAACAAAACTATTCACCTTTTATGAGCCTCTATTTTTTGCATTCAATATACTGGGTGTTTTGGCAGTTTTGATTGATTAAGCTGATCCACTTTGGAAAAATCGGCGGTTTCAGTGAAATCCGAAATCATGAAAGAACAAGGCGTGAGTACAGCCACCGTGCTAAGCACCTGAGTTACGAGATGACACCGAGAGCCGTGAATTTAATCACATTTGGGTCAAGTTACCTGTGCATCCTGCAGCACCGTATCCGCTCCACCAATTCGGATAAAGTAAGCCGATTGTGCAGCCAGCTGTTCCAAGTACAGTTGGACCTCGGTTAACAAGTTTAATCCTTTTCAGCACTGAGTTCGTCATCCGAAAGGCTTGTCTTGCAAAACGAGTGCTCGTAAGCCGTCAAACTGTATCGGTTCACTGATTGGCTGCCGGCTACCGAGGACCCACGCCCGGAGAGCAAGACTCCGTGGCGGACGCAGCCACACACACACACAAACGCACT